TGCATTTCTCAAATGACCAGTGATGTTGAACATTTTTCATATATTTATTTGCCATTTGTAATTCTTCTTTTGAGAAATGTCTATTCATCTTTTGATGGGCATAAGGGCTGTTTCTGAGATGTAGCCGTTACAAATTGTGCTGCTATAAACATGGGTACACATATATCACTACAATATTGATATAGGGGAAAGAAGCTCTCAACCTGCTAGATATCTGGTACAAGTTCGTGTTCTCTAAAATTGACAAACGAATTTTAGGAACAATGGAGGTTAAGAGCAGAATATATTTACTGGAGGAAAGAAAGCTTCTGTCTGAGAGACAGAAAGGATCCTGAATGGATTGCCAAGGATCCTGCCTTTTCCAGGGATTTTTAAGGAGCAAATCCATGATGTGAAGTGGGTCCAAGGTGGGAAACATGGGAAATCACTAGGTGGGCATGAGGCTCTTCCTGGCTTTTTCAAGGTGATTGATACCTATTTAGAATATCAATCCCTGATGTTTATCCTTAGGGAGCTATGTGGGTGCATTTATTTCATCTTTTGTCTCAAGGTCTGACCCACAGTGGAGGTGCTTCTCTCCCCCACAGTTGCAAGGTACCTCATTTTCTGTACTGGCTCCTTCTGGGGCCTAGTCCTGTCTGACTGCCTATATTTCTATTAACTCAGCTGCCTACAACAGTATGATGCTTTTAACTCTTTCAGGAAGATACTTCTTTGCCAGTATCTTGTTGAGGATCTTTGTATCTATATCCATTTTAGAAATCAGTTGTAGTTTTTTGTTTGCTTTTAGTTGAACTAGGAACTAATTTCTTTGATGTCTTTTGTGGCCCACTGATTATTCAAGTTTATTATTTAATGTCCACGTGTTTGCATAATTTCTGTGATTTCTGTTGCCATTGATTGCTAGTTTCATTGCACTATAATCTGATAACATGAATAGAAAAAATTTGATTCTTTTGTATTTATTGAAGCATCCTTAATGGACTAGTATATGGTCCCTTTTGGAGAAAGTGCCATGTGGTACTGAGAAAGTATACTCTGTTGTTTGAAATATTATGTATCTGTTAAATCTATTTGTTCAAAGGTGTGGTTCAACTCTGCTATTTTTTGTTTAGCTGATCTATTTATGATAGTGTGGAGTTGAGGTCGTCCACTATAATTGTGCTGATCCTTAATTGATCTTTATATCCAGTAGTGTTTATGAAGTTGGGTGTGCCAGGTTTACATGATATATAATTACTATTGATTCCTGTTGAATTGTTCCTTGAACTAATATGTAGTGCCTTTGTGTCTTTTGATCAGTTTTGGCTTGAAATCCACTTTATCTGAAAATAAGATAGCTATTCCTGCTTATTTTTATAGTGGTCTTTGTTGCTAGTATGGAAATGCCTTTAGTTAGTGTCAGGTTTTCAGTGATTTACTCTTGGATTGGCTAACTACAGGCCTTTGCCTCTGTCCCAAGATCCAACAACCTTCATTAATTTGGGGAAAATGCATTTAATTGGCCCAGCATCCAGTTCTTACAAAATAATCTGAAATATAGTTGATGACACAAGGACAAACCAGGTATTAGCATACAGTAAATATCAGTAGCAATAACTATGCCACACTGGCAATAGCAACAAAATAAGGAAGAATGGAGTCAATGAGAAACTGGATATTGACACAAGAACCAATAAAAGCTACCTCTGTACTATCCTCAAAAAATAGAAGAGATCTGTGACATGAACATAGACACAAAGATACACCAAATGTTGACATATAGCAAATAACTATTAAATCCAACTGTACCACCATTAACAGCATTTAACAATAACAGCAAAGGTTCAATAAATATCTAAAGATTAATAAGGATTAAAAGTAACTAGTAAAAATGGAAGGATTAGGGAAAGGTAAAATGAAAGAAGATTTGAAAAATTTCTGGACGATGAAGATAGAAAAGTGAGGTAAAGGATCCTATTAAGGAGTAAAAGAAAATTAATAGAATTAAACTACTAGAAAAGAAAAACAATAAAAAGCAGAAGACAAAGAAAATAGAAAATAAAGAAAATCTTCCCCCAAAAAAAGATCAATGAGGAAAAGAGAAATGAATCAAAAATAAAATTCCTATATATTTTTTGAATGATTTCTTTCCAGGTACTGCAATATTAGAATCTAGCAGATATAGGGAAGTGATAATGACTCACAACTGAAACCTGTGTTGTTTCCACCCTAAATTTTTGCATGTGAATGAATTCTAACCCTGCCTTTCCTGCAGTATGTGGCTGGCCAATGTGTCTGCCCCAGGGCTGTATTCACTCTATCCACTCCATTTGCCTCCCTGTTCCCCTTAAAACACTTTCTCTTTCAGCCTGTGGGTTTGAGGTACCCCCACCGTCCTCCAGAGGACCCTTTGTAGGTGGTGGCAACCATGCAAATAGAAGTGCATCCCTGATCACATTGGCAGATGGAAAAGTCAGACCATTGAGCTCTGGGAAATGTCTGAAGCTTATCTTATGGCATAGTACTCCATAACGTAAAAAACCCCACATCTTCTTTATCCATTCATCTGCTAATGGGCATTTAGTATTTTTTCAAGGTTTAGCTATTAAAAACTGTCGCTATAAACATGGATATGCATCTGTCACTGTGGTATGTCACTTTCAATTCTTTTGGGAAGATACCAAGAAGAGGAACAACTGAGTCAAATGGAACCTTTCTCTACTCTCAATAAGCATTTTGATTACTGGCTGGTTACTTTCAAATTTATGTAGGTTTGGCTTTCTTTAAACTTTATTAGTGGAGATCTGTAGAGAGCACAAGTCTGCCTCCCTTTTAATTTGGAAGGACTCATTGTCCAAACTCCATTTCCCTTAAGCATATTGTTGAGGTTTGACTTTAACCTCTATTCTGTTTTTTGTTTTTTGTTTTTTTTTGTTTTTTCTCCGGTACCAGGAACCGAACTCACGACCTTGCGCTTGCCAGGCAGGCGCTTTTGCCGCTGAGCTAAATCCCCAGCCCCTTAACCTCTATTCTGGATTGTGGATATTTGTTTACAGCATGAGAGCTGAAACAAAGTAGAAGGTTGCTTCCTCCAACTTCAGCTGCAAATGTGTGTGAGGTCACTCAAATAAATCGCCACTCTGCATTTCCACAAGTAACTGTCAAGAGTGCTGTGAGTACTAATTTTGAGGCTGGAAGTAAATGTTAGCAGAGACAAATAATGGAACCTGTAAATAAAGGTCAACAATATTTTTCTACATAAGGAAAATATTTTAATGCTCAAAGTGGTTGTGGTTTTGTGCTTGTTTTGGTTTGGTTTTTTGAGACAGAGTCTCATTATGTCACTCAGACTGGACTTGAACTCATGTAGCTCAGGCTGGCCTTGAACATGTGGTAAGTCCTCCCACCTCAGCCTCCAGAGTCCTGGGATTACAGGCATGTGCCACTCTGCCCAGCACAAAGTAGTTGCTTTAATGTAACTATTTTAGTGGAAAATATCCACTAAATATGATTTATCTCCTAAAGAAAGTCTTAATAATAATTTTTCTTACCTGTTCAGGCTCATTATTATAATAATAAAGTAAGAAGCTGGGTGTCTACCTGTAGTGCATTGAGAATTGGTGGTCAATTTATAATCCCCCAGCTGAACTGAGTAAGCATGGTGCTGGGTATGAGGGGGCCCACCTGGGAATTGTTGTCAGCAGCATAAGAGGCAGAACTGGAAAAGAAAGGCTGCTGGGAGTGGAGAAAGGCTGTTGGAGCTCGCGGAAGCTGTAAGGAGCTGTTGGTTCTGTCGGAGGAGCTTGTCATGCTGGCCTTTCCTGATGGGAACTCGGCCACCTTGATCATCAGAGGAGCTGTTGCTGAGGATGGCTGTGATATCCTTTGGGGGAGCTCTGGTTCTCCTAGATTCCACCACTAACCTTTGGGCCTTCCCTGCAGATCTGTGAAATGGGCCAGCATGAGATACTGTTATGGGTTCTAGGCCTCCAGGTGGATTCATGGAAAGCATTGTTATGAGCTCTAGGCCTTCAGATGGACTTATGCAGGACATTTCTGTGGGATCCAGGCCCTCGGCTGGATTCCTGATGTATAGTGTGTGGACTGATCTCCTGCACTATTCTGTACATTGTTCTTTGGGTGACTACTATAAATAATATTATAAAATATGAGTTCTATATTATATTGTTTTATCTTGCACAGTGTCCCTCAAACACCCCCCAAAATATAATAATAATCAATGCTAAAGTTTACATATATAAATGTATTTAGATTAAAAGCCATTTATTTTTAGCCATTAGCTCAATACATATTAATTGTGTGAGTTAGCAGAAGTAAATATTATTTGGGTATAGAGGCAAACACCTACCTAGTCATCTCAGCGTTAGAGAGGTTGAGGCAGGAGATAGCCACAAGTTTGAGGCCAGCCTGAACTAAACATAGTGAGACCCTGTCTCAAAAAAAGAGAAAAAGTAAACATGGGTCTTCATTTTCTCATCTGTAAAATGAAGACTATGTATGTATTTCTAACTTTAGGTCTAAAATTTTCTCTGGCACACCCCTTCTGCAACCCCTAGCCTGGTACACTGGCTTCTAGGTGTTAATTTTATTTTTTTGCTTCCTAATTTTTTACTTCTAATCTTCTATGTCCTAGGAAAATAAAAAATCTCACTTTATTGGATTATTTTATAAAATAAAAGATATTACAATTAAAGACCTGAGATCCTGCCTAAATAATGTGCATACATGTTTTGGGAAATACAAGACCTGAAATATTTATTCCTTAAATCCTAACTGTAATACAAACAGAATGTAAAGTCAGTTGTATATCTTAACAAGTTTAAGAAAAAAAATCATAAACATGGTTACATTAAATATAAGCCAAAAACTTGACATATGTCATTATGCACAGAAAGTAAACAGAAGAGCATCTTTCCTAGGATCTTCATGGAGCCAATAAATCAGATAAAAGAAATAGACAGACTGAAAAAAAACCTGTTACAGAAAAGGGCCCAAGATAAAAAAGTATACAAGGAAATTTATTGTTGATTTATTTACTCAATCAAAATTATACTGTGTATAAAACAGCATTCTCTGTACAGAAGGATATAATGTATCAACATATACAATTATCTTTAAAAAGTCAAGATGCAAGTCACAATGGTTATGAATATAAAATTTACATTCTTCAAAGATCATTTATTTGGCTATTCGTGTTCGAAGTCGTCGTTTGAGAATCTGATGATCACTTTCCTTCATTTTCTGGTCCACTAAAATCTGAAATTAACAGTTTCATAGTTTTTCAAAAATTATACATAAAGATAAAAAATAAGCTTGTTTACAATGAGTGATAATATATATTCATGTGATTAATTGTTAAGATAATAGGTACATTAGTGTCTTTTTGTTCGCTTAGACTATAGGTATTTCATCTTCTATAACCTACACTCTATATTAAATTAAGGACACAAATAACCTCGAAATAACTATTGAAATATTGGACACAAAAAATGCTTCAAATTAATGTTGAGAAAAGGCTTTTTACAGCAACAGGTATATAACTTAGGAAGTAGTTGTATACTAATAAACTAAAAAATCTTCAGCCAAGAGAGGAAATTATGTACTAACCATAAAAATGGTAAAAAAGTGACTAACAATATAGTAGTAACAATGCGTCCTAACAGACCCTACTTCTTTGTCACTTGCCTTCGAGTGCCAATTTCCTGATGCTGTTGCAAAAAAAGATCTCTCCTAATTTTTCTTGGCCACTCACTGAAGCTTTTCCTCTTTAACTACTTTTCTACCTTCACTGTCATCCACTAAGCAAATGCAAGCGTGATAGAAAATTAGAACCTTCTCTGTAATAGCACTAACCATTCTGAGTGAAGAGTATGAGTCAGAGTCGGTGACAGTTGCCATTTTTTTAATAGTACCTGGAAGACTTAGAGGGAAGGTGGGAGGAAATGGCTAAATGTTAATTCTGTATTTTTACTAGGTATATTTGCACCCAGACTTGTACAAGTAACAATAGATGTTAGAGGCAAATAAATTCCTAAAATTGTGATAATTCTATTGATGGAAATATACTTCCCTGATGTGGTTTCAAATATAAATGTATGACACTTATATATACATTAATACAATATTTCTATCTAATTACTATAAGGTTAATATGTCTGAGACCAAGAGTAAAATGACATTTAAAGCATGTGCTTTAAGAGATCTGGTCCAAAGAACAAAATTCAAATCATATAAAATTTAAATTGTTAGCAATACTTCAGAATTAAAAAGAACATGAGTAGTCTTACATTAATGAAAAGTGAAATGGTAGCTTACCACTTGGCCAGATATATCAATAGGAGATGAAATTTCATTTGTGTATAATTTCCGTTTCGCTCTTTTTGGCTGAGATACATTTTCTTTACTTGCTTCTAAAGTTGAATGCTTTGAAGAGCTCATTGCTTCAATTATCTTCTTTGCTGAGAAATAAAAATGTTTATTAACTCCTAAGATAAAGAATTTTCAAAATCATTCATAACAGAATATACACAAATTGAAAAGAAAATGCAACAAAGGACATAAAATAGATAGCTCATAAAAAGATTAAATGCTTAAGAAACACATGAAATAATGATTAAGAGTAAGAGTGGGAAAAGTAAAATAAATAAACTATCTTGTGGATAGTGTTCAACAAAGCAGAAAGGTTTATAGTACAACCAGTAAAATTTCAGTATCTTTAATGACTTGGAAAAAGTTTACATGTTAATCCAGAAAGCCAGATACATGCATAGTAGATTTTGTGTATCAAAAACAAGGTGGTGGGGTTAGTTCAATACCCGTGCATAAGGATGTATACAAAGAATTACAAACCCTTTACTTACACTTCACACACACATACACACACACAGACACATACACATGTATAGAAACCAAATTCTTAACTATTGGTTCCTTCTGGGAAGTGTAGGAATTTTAAAATTTCATACTTGGTGTATTTATTTTTTTAACGGACACTGATTTTAATAGAAAGCATATTTCCATCCAGGTTCAAAAAATTCGTATACATAGATTGATGATATATAAATACATATGTGTGTACACATACACATATACATGTATATTTTAAATAGAAAAACTTTATGGAAATATACTAAATTGAGTTTTGTTGTAAAGAGCTTAGCTTGGCTCGAGAGGGCTGAACTTCAGGTATCAGGGTAGCTGAAGAAAAGAAGCCAAAATAAACCAATTTCCCAAACTTTCAACCACTTACTGCAATAGTATTGCCATGAGGCCAGAACTAAGAAAGCAACAACTCCTACCCACCCTCTTCCATGTTACCTTAAGAAATGGGTGCATGATCTTGGATCAGGTCGATCAGCACAGAAGTAAAGCATCTTACTGCCTAGATAGTCCCAGACAAAGGCTCTTGAGTTTTATAGACCTCAGGACTGAAGGTTGAGGAGCAGGGGAGGAGGGATAGGAGACAAAGGGCTGTGAGTAGAAAAGCACTAAATCGCAGTGCAGAAAATATCAAGGATTGTCTATTTCCTCTCCAAAATGAAGTCTCTGGCAGAGGCACGTGGAGAAGACCTATGCTGAACCCCAGAAAAGAGACTTTGAAAGGAGGCACCAGGCTAGAAATGCAGATATGTGTAAGTACATCACAAGCAAGGAGACCAGAGTCCCCAAGTACAACTCCTTTCAGAGACTACAGTGCATTGGTTTCACACCGAGTTTGGTACAGAGAGGGAAACGTTTCCCATGAGGTCTATCACACAAGTCCTTGCGATTGTCTACAGTTGGCCTTTACAAAAAAGCCACATATGGTTTGGCCTGAAGCCAAACTCCTCACTATTATGAGCAGGGCAATGTACTAAAAGGTGAGGAGAACTAGACAGACATTTTGCTCCTGCGGAGCTTATATTCTAGAGGGAAAGATAATAACAAAGAATTATACTTTAAGTAAGTGCTGAGACAGAAGAAACAGTGCTGAGTGACAAAGACTAAGTGAAGCTAGTGATGAGGATTAGTGACAGGCTGATGAAGGAAGGAAGCTGAAAGATAAGGGAGCAGCCAGGGTAAATTCCTTTTCTGCATCCATTTCCAAACAACCCACCACAACAGACAGGCACTATAGGTACCATCCAAAGTGGGAGTGTCTTTTATTCCTAGAAGTAAGTTTAAAACACTAAAATCCATGCCAAGTATATTAATGAGGAAGCTGTCAAGGAACTGAGCCACCAAGTAAGGAAGTCACGACGTTATAAGAACATTCCTCTCCTTGAAAGTATTTAATATTTGACAATCAATATAATTTAAATACATAATCTTCTAAAATAAGTCCTTTGTTTCCCAATCTAACCATTTAACAGTTTGCTATTTGTCTGGATATTTTCCATGTTTACACAAACTATACTTTTAAAAACAGATATTTGACAGGTCTGAGGTTCAAACCTGTGCATTAAAGCATCCTGCAGCAAACCTGTAAGAGCAACTCAGGATATTTTCGGTCCTCAAGGGAAACAGTGATCCTTGATGATTCAAGGCAGCGCAAGGTTCCAAAATTGCATCACATTACTTTCCTTTTGATGATGGCATAGTTTTGCAAACTAGATTTTCAGAAGCTAAATTTTTAGTGGTTGTTTTCTTTTAAGTTCTAATGGATGAGGCTATTAGGCTACTAGGTAAGTTTTTGGGTACAGGGGCACAATGACAATGATTACTGAGACATTAAGGGCACTGAACCAAGAAAATTTGGAGACTCCTGCAATAAGTTTCACAGAAAGTATTTTCATACAACCTATGACTCAATTCAACTGTCCTCTGCTTCTAGTCCCCAGCTCCCCTACTTTTCATCTCCAATTCATCGTCTTTTTGCCATTGATGAAATCCTACAAACCCATTCCTGCATCTACTCTTCCCAAATTACCCTTCCATATTGCTACCTACAATTGCATAGAAGTACTATACACTTTTCTGTTAGTCTAACAGTGTTAAAACTATTTCCTCTGGTAGATGTGCCTGTGTATGTATGTGTATATGATATATCTTACTATACAAACAGATACAATTCAACATTATATTGTAAAGAAAAAAGCATGAAGCATACTATATTTGCAAATTCAATGGACAATTACAGAAATGTTTTCAACACATTACAGATAGGTAGGTAACTTATGCATATGCATAGAATACAAACAGTCAAACAAGCACCATAATACTAACAGTGGTTAGTAATATTACACTGAATTATAAATCAGTATTTCCTCCATACAATCTTCTCAAAGCCCTCTAATCAGAATGGTTTTCTCCAGTGCAATATTATCATACCACTTTTCTTACACCTCTATTAATTAAGTAGGCCGCTCTGTCTAGATCAATGACTCACATATAAACTTTTTAAAAAGTTTAAAAAAATAAACTTTTGTCTTCTAATACACAGTCAATACCTACGCACATCATCTTTTCATCTGTTTCTTCCCACAGTATTTAATACAGAATAATGCTTGTGCATAGCATAGTTAATACTCACTGTACTAAACATTTGAGTCTATATACCGATCAGGTATTAGAAAGTACCCTACTATGTAACAGCAAAGGCCCTTTAATTAATTTTCTACAAACCTTTTGATTGAAGAATTGCTGGGGAATGTTGTAAAAAGTCTCCAAATTTCTGTAGTGCCCCTTCTTTTTCCTTAGCAGCCGAGTTTGCACTAACTGTGGGCGCCTGACTCCGTAAAGAGTATGTTTTCTTCGATGATGAATGTGCAGGAACCTAGTAAACAAACACCTTTTGTTATTGTTCATGAAAAATATTAGAAGGAAACAGTTCTGGCTATGGTTAAATTACAGAGACCAGAGACAAGTATGAATTATTCGATAAGGAACTCAGGGCTAATTATACACACAGAGGGATAAAGTGTTAAGCCTAACCCTAAGTGTTAAGCCAGAAGTAAATACAACAAGTACCTTCTACTGGCCAAATGCTAAAGGTTATATCTAAGCTGAATTAGATGGATATGAAATGGAAGTTATAATCAGACACAGGTAGGTTTCTGGATAATTAGTAATTGAGTTTGATATTTTAATTTTCAACTTCTATTTTGTAAGTTATGGAAATCGTCAATTTTGGACAAATTAAAAGACAAACCTTTTGTTCCTTTTTGACAGAGGAGGGTCTAGTATCTGAAATAGGGAACTTAGAATTTGCTCTAGGTGTAGCATTCTTCTTATTTTCACATTTGACCAAGTCCTAAAAATAATGAATTTCAGTACCAGTTAATTTTTGGATAATATTTGCTTTCTTAAAAAGAAAATAGAAACATCTGTAAAATGTTATGTCTCATTTATAACCATGATCTTGTAACTGGGGGTAATTCTGACCTCAGCGGACACTGGCAATGTCTGGAGATATTTTTGGTTGTCTTTGCCAGGAAGAAGGAGAAAGTTGCTTGCAACTGGTGGGTAGAACCAAAATGCTTCCAAACACCGCCACAATTTGCAGGACAGCCCACAACAAAAAAGTATCCAGCACAAAATGTCAATGGTGTTGAGGCTGTCAATCCTGACTGCAGGTATGAATTTTTCCACACACAGAATAAATGATGAAGTACCATACGCTAAATGAAAAACCTAGAAGGGTAACATTTTATCTTAATTTTATCTTTATTTTCCAACTCTTATATCATACAAGACCTCTCACTGAAACCTAGCAACATCAAAAACAAAACAGAACTTCACAAAGGAAAAACGTGAAAATTGGGGCTGGGGATTTAGCTCAGCGGCACAGCGCCTGCCTGGCAAGCGCAAGGTCGTGAGTTTGATTCCCTGTACTGGAGAAAAACAAAAAACAAAAAACAAAAAAACAAAAAAAAAAGTGAAAATTAATAATCTTTCTTCTTTACTAAGTAGGCATGACAGCTTCATTTTCTCATACAATCTCGCACAGGTCAAAGCCTTCTGTACGTATACTCACTAAATTTAATTGATGTGAATCCAAGTTGTGCCAAAAAATACAACATGGGATGGGGGCAAGAGAGAGGTGGAGAAATTATGACTGAACAGTCAGGATCTAAGTTACAAAACAGACCCCATGAAAAGGGGAAGACAGTAACCATGAGAGACAAATGAATGAATAAAATGCTAGCCCTTTATATTCCAAGTATTCATTGGATTTATGTGGATTTGCTAGATTAAAATACAGCATTATATAAATAATTTTCACATAGTCAATCTATTATAGCATTGATGACTATTAACAAAATCAGTTTAAAAATTTAAGTTTCCACATGATATATCTGTAAGCATCTGTAAAACTTTTCTGAGATACATGTGATAGGTACACACCAATAGCAAATTTAATAAAGTATTTATATTTTAACACTTGAATACTAGACTCAATTTTTCCTTTTCTCTTAAAACAAGTACAAGAAAAAGTCAAGTTAATATAGATGATGATGAAATTAGTGTTTTAATGGCATTTAAACTGTAATAAACATAAATACCTAGAACAAAAGTAGATAATCAGACATTACAAAACAATCTGTAAAGGTGTTGTATGTGTAGCTGGATAGCCACAATAATATTCACCAGCAAACTTAATACCTGACAGAGAACCTCAGGAGTAGTTAATATTATTTCTGTTCATCTATTAGCTTGAAAATACACTACTTTTTAAAGGAGTAAAAGAAAGTTGGGAGAAAGTTATTTTCCAAAAAAATTATAATTAAATTTAAAACAAGTGACTTGAACAATAAAGTTGTCGTTTACTATTTGTTTACCATATGTACAGCAATAGCTGACAGAAAGCATATGTGACTCACCAGATCTGCATGACTAAGGTAGAGTAAAAGGTGTGGCACCTCTATACAAGGGGCTACAAAGAGAGTGGGTAAATCGGTTTTAGTCTACCACTACACTGAAGCCCAAATTTTAAATCTGGCTAATGGAAAAAGGTTTTGTCTTCCAAAGCCTACTGGGTCACAGAGACATAAACATTAATTAAAAGACAAAAACTACATACGCAACAAGTTAGTCATTTCAGTTTCTATAATTTCTTTATCAGTCTTTTTCATCTTCCACTGGAGAGAAAATGAAAATGTGCTTGAACCACACTAGTATACAGAGAAACAGTTCTCCAGTAAAATTCGCTATAATTGACCTATTATAATTTAAGTGAAATAAGGGATAAGCTATGTATTAATATATTATTTTAATATCCACAGCTCTTTGTTTAGGACTTTTAAGCCACAGTATTAGTCCTCTTTTTTTTTTTTTTTTGTACCTGGAATTGAATGCAGGTTCTTGAGCTTGCCAGGCAGGCACCTGTACTGCTGAGCTATATCACTGGCTATCCTTAAAGGATATAAAATATGCCTCAAATAATGACTTTAATCTCCTTACTAACAGCAAAAGAGTGTAACAGAGCTACACTATATCCTATAATTGACCTTAACAGTAATAAGACTTGCTTGTTAACTTTACTTATTAGCTAAGAATTTACCTCCTCCATTTCACTACTCTTCCTCTTCCGGGCCTTAGAAATCTTAACTGTCACTGGTGTGGTACAACCAGGGTGTTTCACTGACATTTTGTTTGGCTGTAAAGGTGTAAAATGAATCTCCAATTCGGGTTTTGGAAATCGAGTACTTTGTTCATTTTCTGTTGACACTTCACAAGAATCAAGAACCACTGATCCATCCTGCAACAAAATTTTAAAAAATTATTTATAGAATATTATTTATAAGCCACAAATTAATTATCTCAAATGCCTACCACAGACAATAGATTGGGAAACACAAAAATGTAATGGGACACAGCAATGACAACAAGCATAGTTTATTATGTAGGTATTTCCAGGTTTATATGTAAGGCATGTAAAACTGGAGATGTAGTTGAGAAGTATAGAGTGTACGTAGCATATATGAGGTCTTGGGTTCAATCCCTTGCACTGATAAAAAATTGGAGGAAACAGTGATTATCATTTCCCCAATTTATATGACAAGATTATCTACAGATTTGTTTAAAAGATTACTAGACTTTACATGAACTTACTCTGTCAGAAATCTCTAAAAGTCTGGAATCTTTAACAAGTACCTTAATTATGGTAGATTTAAAGTTGGCTATAAATTTTTTGCCATCTTTTCGTTGAGAAAAAGTGTCTCTCACTTCACTCGTTGAATCTGGCCTGGCCTTAATGTCTTTCATAACCAATTAAGATGCAGCAGTAACATCCTATTTCTCTATGGCTCAATAATAAGAAGCACTGTATGCTCTACCCTATCCTCCTGGAACATTAACTTTCAAAATACTTCCCTTTTTCAAAATCTATTTTTTTTCCCCCCCGGCACCAGGAATCGAACTCACAACCTTGAGCTTGCCAGGCAGGTGCTGTGACGCCGAGCTAAATCCCCAGCCCGCTTAAAATCTATTTGTAGCTAATGTGCTATAAGAACCCAAGGCCACAGACATAAGCCACATGTAAATTCAGTGGAAATCCAAGAATCAACCATACTAGCTATGCAAATGAATCACTTACTTTCAGCCTAGCCGAACATGTTAATTTCATGAAAGCTGGAAAAAAGGATACAAAAGAGCATAACCACAGAATTTACCTCAAACTATGAAGTACACAGTAACTTCTAAAATTGATAAGAAATTGGACCTATGTTTGAAGATAACACATATACATTTATGGAGAAAAAAATGCCTCATTGTACGTCATTGCCCATGTAATCAGGAGTTAAACCTTATTTACGGATCACCTTTCAACTCGCCACAAACTTTACAATTTGTATTGGTCCCTAAAAATCAATACTAACTATGTGAAATTCTACCAAGAAGCATCAAGAAAAGGCCAAAGATAAAAGGAATAGCTCATGTTATTTTCCAAGGTTAAAATGCCTTTCCCTTCCCATTTGTTTGGCAAAAGTCCAGCATGATCCTAGTATCTCTAATCCATATCCTCAGTGTTCCTTGGAGCACTCAATTCTAGCTTCTGTTCTAACACACAGCACAGAAGGTAAGGTTACACAATCAATAATTTGAATGTCACTCCTGGAGGAAAGCAATCACATCTCATTTGTTTCTTTATTTAGTGCCAGTGCTTAGAAAAGTTCCCAGCACTGACTGTTCCCAATATATGTGTTTAACATATAAATTTAAATACTAATTTTATCCTCAAAAATTTCAAGTGACACAGAATTTTTATCTTTCATATCCAGTCTTAGAACACTTACATTACTCAAAGTTATTCACAGAAACCTAGATCCAATGCAGATTAAAGAAATTCAATGTGAGTCACTAAAAGCTAGTGACAAAATTATTATATGAATACAACTTCCCAAAACATATTTTTTAATATAATGTTTATTAAGGAAATATCTTACGAGAGCAAATAATCCTTAGTTTCTTTTATGAGATTTACTATTTCTGACAATCAAATCTGTTTATTTTTTTAAATCTTTTTTGGTTTTTTTTCCCGGTACCGGGGATCGACCTTGCACTTGCTGGGCAGGCGCTGTGCCGCTGAGCTAAATGCCCAGCCCCGCCACTTCTTTTTTCTCTTTGGTTAAGTTTGTCTACATTAACAGATCTACTGTTTTTAAGAGGAGATAAACATTACTTGGGGATCAAATTGCCCAAAAACATTTCTACTTCTCAAAAGCTTCCAGTTGTCCTTCACGCAGCCAAAAGTACACCTGGCTAGTTATGTAGCAAGATACCTACAACTACTGCCAAAACTTACAAGTTCTGCTGAGGGAGTAATGGTGCATAAAGTGAAATGTATTACCAAATACTCACCTCCACTACATTCCTGGAAATTTCAAAACTTGCTGATTGAGGTTCATTTTCAACCCTAGCAGGATCTTTTGAACTAGTTTGTCCGGGCTTCATGACCATACTTCCTTTTTTTTCCTAAATTAATGAAATATTGAAGAAGTAAGTCATTTTAACCTGAAATGCATTAAAATATCTCACACAAAGAATATAAAATTAAGATTTACATAGCCCAAACAGTAGAAACAATTAAAGACTTATTTAGTGACTACCTATACCTCCCTCCACCTCTGTTTCATCCTCAAGACTTAGGAAAAGCTGGGCAACTCTTTACTTCTTCTGAATCTAATCTAAGGAAAAATCTGAAAGATTACTTTCAAGACCCAAATTGTTTACATTCAAACTCTCATTTTTCTTTCCTTGTAATTCTCAAATTAGGTTTGACAAAAATTATTATTCCTACTTCCCAGATGAAAGAAAAAGAGACATTGCCAACTCTGTACTGAATTGCAACTTTAAATTCTCAACTGCTTTTCATAATACAATTTTCTTGGGAATGCAATCATTTAAGTAGGTTTTAGGAGTAGAACCTATCTTACAGGAAAATAGGATGAAGAGTGTCCTTCAAGAAAATTTGATCATCATTATTGCTTTAAGACCCTAAGGCCATAATGATAACTAAATCTTCTCTTGAAGTGTGCTCTTCATCTCATTCTACCATATGGTAGGTTCTCTTCCTAAATCCTACTTAAGTGATTTATAAAGAAATACCAGACTACATTTTAAACTTGCTAAGTTCCAGCACAGATATTCTTATCACAGCCATCAAAATTAAGTCAAACACAACTTTCATATCACCTATCCATTATTGCCAAATAATGGGGAAAGCAATTAGTATATACTGGATTTCACTATGGTAATTATTTTTAAATGCTCTTAATTAATTTCTTAACTCTATTATGAAGACATTGTTAGAGTTTTGAAAAGTTAAACAATTTTCCTCAAAGGTCCCAAATCATGGTGACAGTAGTTATCTAGTTTTTTCTTTTACTTTCTCTCAGACCACTCAATCTTTTAATGCCTAATATGTATACACTCCAACACATACGCATACACATTCTTTCATTGTTATTCAAGTTCCTACAGCAACAGATCATTATGTGCTGATCATTTATTTCATAAAGACCAACTTCAGATACACCCTGACTCCGCTCACTGGGACACAACTATTTGTGAAAGCCAGTCATCTCTTTATTCAGGATTTCTTGCCCCAGTGTACTATTAAAAAGGTAACTGCTTGAACAACTCATGATGCTCACCAACTGTGCTTACTTTCAAAATAATTTGTACCTTTATACAGTAAACTTAAGGGTGGCTCCAAATATTAAAGTATTACTAAGAATTCATTTTAAATCACATTTCTACACTTTAAAGACAGATTAGAGACAAAAATCATCAATTGTTGATTTTTTAACTGCTCTACCTAGGACAGTGAAGGGAAACCTTGTGGAGCTTCCACTGATAATAAACAGCCAGCTATGGCATGCATGCCATAGGTTCTAACCTAGGAGGTCTGACCACATATTTACAGAAAGTGCTATGCCTCAGCCATTGAGAAATAATAATAAGTAAGTGATAATGACGAACAAAAGACAAAATAGGTGTCTTGAAACAAACTCTGAAAACTCAAAATTCATGAGAAATATTTACATTTTTCACTTTGATTCCTCTCTGGTCTACTGAGTTAACTAAATTGAGAGTCAATTACTTTTTGTTTGTTTGTTTGTTTTTTTCTGGTACCAGGAATCAAACTCATGACCTCGGGCTTGCCAGGCGGGTGCTATGCCACTGAGCTAAATCCCCAGCCAGAACGTCAATTAATTTTGAAGAATCCTATGTTCAATAAAATGGCATAGAAAAAATAACATTCTACTTACTATATCAGAAGCCTCTGACGTGCTCTTTCTTAACTGCTCAATTTCATTGTCTTTCTCTATGTTACTGGAGATCAGTGCTTTCAGTTGTATTTCTAAAGCAGCAACCAACTGATCTCGTTCTTCTCTCCACTTCTGAAGGTCACTATTTTTCTCTGCCAACTGTGCTGTCAGTATTTCCTAACCAATAGAGAAAATATTAAAGTAAACTTTGAAATGATGAACCTAAGAATATTCACAAACATTTATTAGATATAATACCATGAATATAAGTATGGACAAGATATATAACTATGTAGTCAAGTTTTGATAAAATATTTCCCTATTAAGAAAAATACTTAGGGGCTGGGGATTTAGCTCAGCGGCAAAAGTGCCTGCCTGGCAAGTGCAAGGTCGTGAGTTCGGTTCCCGGTACCTGAGAAAAACCAAAAAAAAAAAAAAAAAAAAAAAAAGAAAAATACTTAATACCATTACATACATTAAATGTCTACAGGCTATATTTATTCCTGTACTACCTCCCTCAAAAAAAAAAAAAAAAAAAATTAGCTTGCTGGACATTTCTATAAGTGTAATAAAGAATTACACTTATACCTTCTAAATTAATACTAGCACTCCTAAATGAGAGGACAAAATTACAATGAATAAATAACAAATCTAATAACAACAAATAATAAAAAAAGAAAAACCAATCATTTACCATGTATTCAAAAATCATAAAATACTCACTAGTAAATTAAAGATACACACAAAATATTGAAAAGCTATAAAACATTGTTGAAAAATTAAAGACACCTAAATACATGGAGAGATAATCTGTGTTCAAAGATCAAAAGACTCAACATTAATAAACCTAGTCAAAGCAATTCCCATCAAAACTCAGATGCATGTGCACGTGTATAGGTATAAAAGAGCTAATTTAAAAAGTTATATAGAAATGCAAATGTCAAGGGAAAAATATGTATGTTTACACAGGATAGCTAACATAGTTGTACTACTGACTTTGATTGCTGTATTGAAAGGAACAGTTAATGTTTAAGTGTACGATCAATTTTACATGTCTATATTTGTTTATCTGAGTATCCAAACTGAAGCTATCAATATGTAATATAACAACCATTGTTAATTTCCTATCACGCTGTTTGAGATTCTGTATTGCTTGTACCGTTTTTGTGTTATTTTCTAAACGTATGTGTGTTTGTTAAGATGTTTTCGTTCTTTTATTTTTAAAATTCAAAAAAATCAGTAAAGGCAAAAAAAAGAAAGAAATGCAAATGCCTAGCTGAAAATGAACAAAGTAAATGCCATAAGCTATGTTATTTCAACCATATTACTGTACAATAATGAAGACAGTGTTAATAGGGCATAAAGATAGAGAAATTAATAAAAGAGAAGAAACTCCACAAATATATGGTCAATTAATGTCCTACAAAAGTGTCAAAGAAATTCTATAAAGACAGGACAATCTTTTTAACAAATAGTGCTAAAAGAACTGAATAATCAAATTTAAAAAAATTAATCTGAACCCTAATCATACACAATAAAAAGTATTCATTGGACAAGTTCTTTAAGACAAAAGTGACACAGCAGTGGGGAAGAAACAGTCTCTTCAATAAATAGTATGAGGCCAGTTGGTAATTCATAATTCACATCAAAACAAATACAAGGTAACAGACATACACTACGATCAAGGGAATTCTACTTTTAGATACCATGCAACAGAAACATACGCATATATGTACCAAGAAAAATATAAAAAAAAAATTCTTATGGGGAATGTACTATTCATGAAACACGGAAAGCCCAAATATCTTAAACATTACAATGAATGAATGGTAATGTATTCATACACTGAAATATTTACCAAAGAAAACAGACTAACTTTGGCTCTATGCAACATGGGTAACTCAAAAAAAACTAATACTGAGTCAGAGAAGTAAGACACAAACAAATGCATTTCTATTTATATCAAGTTCAAAAATGGACAAAACTAAAATATACTACTAAAAGACAGATGCGGGTGTGGTGGCACGCACCTGTAATCCCAGCACTCAAGAGAGGCTGAGGCAGGAGGATCACTAGTGAGTTCAAGGTCAGCCTGGGCTATGTATATGAGCTCAAGGCCAGCCTGTACTACATAGACTCTGTCTTAAAAAACAAAACAAAACAAAACAAAACAAAACAAAGTAAAAGATAAAAGACAAAACAGTTATTCTCATCAAAAAAGAGAGAGAAGAGGAGGCTCTGGAGTAATGATGATAAAGAAACATAGGAGAAAAAACTAGGCCAGCTTTCTCTAGGACTTGAAACTCAAATGAGGCCAGGTACAGTGGAATGCCTATAACCCCAGATCCCCTAAGAAGCTGAAGCAGGAGGACTGCTTAAGCCATGAAGCTCAAGTCCAGCCTAGGTGAGAGAGAGAGAGAAAAAGAGAAAAAGAGAGAGTGATACAGACAGACAGACACAGAGAGATAGAAAGACAAAGATGCGGTGGAGAGAGAGGGAGAGAAAATTAATGAATTCAAGTGGGTATACTTGCTGGCACTGCTTCCAGAGGAGCAACTGCCTAGGAAAAGCTGGCTCCCTTCCTGGTTTAGAATGGGTAAAACTATGACAGCCTACAGTTTTTTACTTCTTGTCTCTTACTAATGGCCAGGATGATTCGGGCGGGGGGGGGGGGGGTATGGGACAGGAAAAAAAGCCAGAAGCAACTCCTACAGCATCAGAATTCTATTCAATTTAGTAGTTCCTTGCTAGAGTTTAGGTCTAGAATGTCCTAATGTTGAGGGTTTGGTCCCTAGCTTGGTGCTGCTGGGAGATGGTGGAACCTTTAGGACATAGGGCCAGTGGGAGGTTTTCAGTCACCAGGGCATGCCCTCAAAGGAGACTGGGATTATGATCTTTTGGTTCCCTTCAGTGAGGTAAAGGTTTTTCTCTGCCCTGTGTGCCCACTGTGATGTGCTACCTACCACAGGTATAAAGCAATAGGCCAATGATCATGGCTCAAACCTGAAACTGTGAACCAAAATAAACCTGTTTACTTTATAAATTGATTATCACAGGTACTTGCTACAACAAAGGAAAGCTAACTAACACATTCCTAGAGGCATCTGCAGGCACAGAGTTGACATATAAAATGAAAAATATTACCATCTCAGAGCTATAATATTAGCCTCAAAGGATTTGGCACATAAAGAAAATCTCGAGTCAATACTCTATAGAAACATGACAACTAATAAAATGTAGTAGACCGGATTAGATCTGGGACTCCAAAATAGACAATAGTGAGAAAACTGGTGAATATTTTTCAGAAAGGTTTAAAATTTAATTAATCTGTTGGTTATTACCATTATAATGTTATGTAAGACGCTAACATCAGGAAAAGTTGGGTGATATATATATAAGAAATTTCTTTACTAGTTTTGTAACTTTTCTGTAAATGATTTAAAAATCAAAAAATAAGAGCAAAGGAAGCTTATTTACACAAAGAAACATAAGGGCAGAGCACACAGAGGTAGGCCCTATACTTTCAGACAGGACAGATACTTCAACCAAGGGATTTTCTTGAGATACAGTTTTTTCTAAGACTAAACGTAGTACACAATTAAAGGCAGCCTTCTCACAGATACACCATGAAGGGCCTTGAGAGCTGCCTATGTACCTTGACTTTTCTAGCTATATCCATTGGCCCCAGGACACTGTACACTGCTCTTGCTTCCTTCCACTTCATTTCAGGGGAAAAACAAAAGACCTACAAAGGAAACAGACTCCTCCTCAATATGTTATACAATCAGAAGTGAAGTGACATTGGTTTACACAGCTCAGAGTATTCAGGAATATTTGGCGGGGAAAAAATGGTAAGGAAAATGCACCACTGCTGGAGTAGACTACAGGCCTGGTCTAAACTAGAGCTCAGTAAGTAAACTGACATGTTCTGTCCAGAAAAGACTTCACACAAAAATCATAAAAACTGACCATCTTTGTCCAATATTAAATATTGGAGTAGCTTTGAAGTTAGGGGGTAAGAACAGTGGAAAAACCACTCTTCATTTATTGACAATTAACATTTTCATTTTTATAGAAAAGGTTATCGTTAAGGTCCATCATAAACAATACAAATGTCAGAAGACTACAGTACAATACTGCCAAATTACTATTACTCCATTATAAATAAAGAATTGCTATTTCATTTAAAGCTAATGTTTGTCTGTTGCTAAATAGTCTTGCGAGGATCAATGATAACTTTTAACTTTGTTTTTCTTATTGGCAGCGCTATGTACCAAACTGCCAAATGAAAGAGGAGAAAGGAAAGAAAAGCTAGGATAAAATTCTTTTTTTAAAAAAGAGAATAAAAAATAGTAATAAAAAACATTAAAAACGATACAGAATTTCACTAAACAAGACGGTAGGAATTCAACAAAAGTTGTTATGTTGCATATTGTTGTCTTCAACTTACTTATTCAGATTACCAGATATAAGCATTCAAAATTAGTTAAAAAAAGAAAAAAATTTTAAAAAGTTAAACAATAATGAAAATGAAGAAAAAAAAGTTAAACAATAATGTTCCTTTCAACAGACCAGTAGAAATCAGCAGTACAATTGTCCCAGCTATTCTGTGTATACACATATATTTTTTCCCCTTCCTTTTTTTTTTTTCCCTTTCGCTCATCCCAGTTGTTCCTTCCCATTGAGCAGTTTCTTTCCCTTTCACAATATCTATTGCACCTTTCAGATTTTATTTACTCTTTCAGGTTCTTACACTAGGGAGACAATACGATGTTTACATATGTGGGTCTGATTTATTTCTTTACAAGAACTATAGCTAGTCAATGCAAAACTGAATACCATTTCTACCTCTACCTATGCAGTCTTCTAGAAACTATTCAGTTGACATTTTTAAAAAGCTCTGATAAAATGGCTTATGAGATAATAAGCACATATCATATTAGAACACATAGTTCAAAATGTAAAAAGCTTTAAAATACTGCAGGAAAAACTCTATAGCAATCAAAAAAATATAAAAGATTTAGTATCTAGATATTGAGAGGCAATTAAGTATTTCTCCAACTTGTTAAGACTGAGAAAACTTAGAAGAACATAAGAGAATCTTAAAATGAACTGAGATGAACTGACTAGAAAATTATTTTACCAAACCTACCATTAAAAAATTTTTCTTTTAAAAAAGCAACTGTGGGGGTTGGGGGTTTAGCTCAGCGGCAAAAGCGCCTGCCTGGCAAGCGCAAAGTCGTGAGTTCGGTTCCCGGTACCAGAGAAAAACCAAAAAAAAAAAACAAAAAAAAAGAAGAGAAAAAAGCAACTGTGGAGAGACTGACAAAAATCCCAAGAATAAACAAGACAAACCAAAGTAAAACAACAGAAATCCATCCACAAAATTGTTACCAACCACTTCATTTTGTTGATTTAAACAACGCTCCCTATCTTCAGCATATTTTTTCATCTCTTTGTTTCGTAGATTTTCAGCTTCTTTTGCTTGCGTGATAAGCATCATTTTTTCTTCTAACCATTTCTTTCTATCAACTTTATATTTCTGTTCACATTCCTATAAATGGTACAAGTTATTACTGCATGCCTAAGTGGTTAGTAAACTTGTTTTTAATGTTATCATATAACCCACCACACTTCACCTTTTTAAAAACTATGAAAAGGTATTTTTAAGTAATGAGAAGATCAGAGTTTATTTGAGATTATAAAAAGAAACGTTAGCTGGTTTTGCCTGCCTTTATACACTTTATTTTGCTATAAGTTCACCTAAGGACTTTATCGGTGAGGTTAAGAAGAAATAAAAAATTTAAATTTTTGGAAAAGCTACTGCTACTGAAGTCTTCCTACATAAATGCCACATGGGGGAGGTTTGGTCATTTCCAATTCTACCGTTTCAAAACAAACAATGACTGAGCGTAGGATGCTAAATAAAGAGTAACTTGTGTACTAGGGCATTTATTAAAAAGAACTTGAGAGCAGCTGGACAACGATTATAATACCTCAGTGATTTTCAAACTTGTTTCTCTAGATTCTTTGGGCCTACTGGCATTTTATTTTATAATTTCAAAATCCAACTAAAACACCATTTAAAAGAAAAACAATACTATCACTCTAAAAAGATCTAAATCCACTTTATTAGATGGCAGTTCATTCTAGCCTTATAGTTCAACAACTAAGATATGTGATCATGTGATCTCAGAATAATGCAAAGTACACTAACACTACTTAATAAGCACATTCTGGATATGGTAGATGTATTATTTTTCATAATAAATGGCATAGTTGAAAAATCCCATGAAAAAACATTTTCCCAATATCATTTTCTACATATAGTACATAAGGTTAAATAAGACAAAATATATAAATACAAAACAGAATATATGAGTTCACTCCAATTTAATAATTAAACCTTGAACAGTAATCAAAATAGTTCTCTTAATGGTCACCTTCTCCATAACAATATTTGCTGAATTAGAAATTTAAGGAGTAGAAAAGTTGGTTGAAAGAATTAGCAATGGTAACTTAAAAATTAAATACACCAAATATAAAACTAAGGCCCCAATCATTCCCTTTTCACTGGCACTTAATAGTTTGTGTTGTACAAAATTTTCCCCATTTAATTTAATTGTGCACTGAAAAAAGTACATCCACATGAATTCCCTCAATAGAAATATGATACAAAGACAGATAAAATCATACCTGCAATTCATCTTGAAGCTTACTGAGCTTTTTATGAAGTACGTCCGTGTCACCCTCAAATTCTTTATTTGACTTACAATTACTTTTGGTTTCCAGATCTTTGCATTTTTCCTTCCATTTTTCTAATTCTGATTTGAAGAAACAAAATTATTTTAAAAAGCACATGCAAAAATTATACCATGAAGAGATATAGTTGACATGAAATATGGGCAAAAGTCAGCAAGGCCCAGAATACAGATCAAAATGGAACTGAGATTACTTTAAAAGCTGTCCTTTGAAGAGTTTTTACCAAACTCTTAGTGAAGAAAAACTACTGTTGCTTTTCAGGAATTCATTTTAACCTTAATTAGACAGGATAGTACATAGAGTTCTCAAAAAACAGTTACTCCATGTCCATGAAAGTGACTATGAAAGTACAAGGTTGAGTATACTCATCATCACATTTGTATTCACAAGTGCAGTTTTGGGATTTACAAAGTACTCTTATACTTAGCATCTCAATCTGAAAAAAGTAGTAATTTGCAATTGTGTACATAGCATTGTCATCAACCACATTTTACAGATGAAGATAATGAGGCTAGGTAAGCACAAATATCCTGCCAAAACTATGTATGTATAAGATGGTTCAGGCTGGTAGGAGAGCTCAGTGACAGAGCGCTTCCCTGGCATGCACAAGGTACTGGGTGTGCTACCCAGCACCATGGAAGAATTAAAATAAATAAATTTTTGCTCACTCTCTAAGAAACACAGATAGCTTCATTACTAATAAATTAAGTGTTATATATTTCTACATATTCTAGAAAAGTTCTGACAGTATTCTAAAGGTAACAGAATCAGTATTTATTGAGATAAATACAAGAAATGCCAAAAATTTGACAGATGTAAAGCTCAGATAAAAGCACATTTTTAATGTTTGAAAACATAGGAAGCTACTTGAACCTTATTTGTAAATTATTATGGAATATTTTTTTTCTGTCTTTATTGCAGATAATTTTACTTTAATAAAAAGATTTGTATTACAGTGTAAAATAACGAGTGACAAGACATTCAAAGAATACACCAAATACTTTAGCATTATGTTTTGTTTTGTTTTTTTTTTTGAGACAGGGTCTCACTATATAGTTTTTGATGGCCTTGAACTCACTAGCCCAGTGTGGCCCCAAGCTCATGATGATCCTCCTGCCTCAGCCTCCCCAAGAGCTAGACAGTTGTGTGTCACCACACCTGGCTAGTACTATGAATTATTATAAATTCTGTATTACTTTTAGAAGGGAAATCTTAAAAAAAGATGAGGGAGAGAAATGAAAAATTATGCTTTAAAATACTAAAAGCAATCTTTTTCCAGAGAAGTGGGATGTTGAAACAGAGACCTGCTATACAGTTCATGATGGCCTTGAACCACTTTGTAGCCCACACTGTCCTCAAACTTACACCAATCCTCCTGCCTTGGCTTCCTGAGCGCTAGGATTATGGGTGTGTACCATCATGCCTGCTATAAGACGTAAGCAAACTTGTTTTACCTGTGGCCAGCCATTCTGCTTCCTCTAATTTAGCCTCAAGCACCTGATCTTGTTCTATTTGAGTTTGTTCTTGTTCTTCGAGTGTCATTCGCATGTCCTTAATCATTTTCTCTTTAACATTTAGATCTAAATATTTGAGAGAAATATTTAAAAATTAGTAATATGTGCATCCAATTTTTCTTAAATTCTTCAAAAATTAAAATATATTTTTATTAATTATAATAGAATACAAATTCCATATAGTTAGAAACTTGCCATGTTCACTTGAATCTTCAAATGCCTAGAATACTACCTGGTATATATGAGGCACTAATATGTATCTGAACAGCTCAGTGACATAAGCGTCTGCCTGACAAGTGTAAGGTCCAGAGTTCCATTCCCGGTACCAAAAAAAAGAGGAACTAATATATATCTAATACACAGATCAATGCTTCTAAAGGTGGACAGATGATAAAGATTCTTTTCAGATAAAATTAACAATGTCCATTATAATTAAAGTATTGCTACTAATAAATACAAATCTGTTAGGGGTCTAAAACTCAAAATACATTAAAAAAAAAAACTACACAATTCTATGATAAAAGCACAAATAACCTAATTTTAAAGACAGGTAAAGAACAAGAACTTCATATTACTGCAAAGAAAATAGTCAATAATATATCAATAAGTGCTTAATAGCATTATAGCCATTAGGGATATGTAAGTTAAAACTATAATGACATACAACTTTATATCTACTACGATGTGCATTAAATAATGTCCCCTAAAATTAATGCCCATCCATTACACATGTGATCCTATTTAGAAACTTTTTAAAAACTGTAATCAAATGAAGAATGAGTTCTTGAGTAGAAAAAAAAAGAATGAGTTCACACTGCAATGTGGTAGGCCCTACATCCAATTATTACTGCTATGCTCATAAAAACGGGAAATTTTGGCTACAACTGAGAGCCAAGACAGACAAAGAGGAAAGCCCTGTGTGAAGACAGGGGCACAGATAGGATTATGCTGCCACAAACCCCAAAGTACTAACAATTGCTACCAACTATCAGAAGCTAAAAAAGGCAAAAGATTTTTCTCTAAAGTCTTAAGAGGGAGTATAGTGCCGTCAATACCCATACTTCTAGCTGTTGTAACTGTGAGAAAATAAATTTCTGTTTAAAGTCACTCAATGTATGGTACAGCCTTATGAAAGTAACATTTTTTAAAAATGAAAAATTGGCTGGGGATATAACTCAGCAGCACAGTGCTTGCCTGGCAAGCGTGAGGCCCTAAGTTCAATTCCCAGTACCAAAAAAATAAAAAATAAAAACAAAAATACAGGGGCTGGGGATTTAGCTCAGCGGCAAAAGCACCTGCCTGGCAAGTGCAAGGTCGTGAGTTCGGTTCCCGGTACCGGAGAAAAAAACAAAAACAAAAAAAAAAAATACAAGAAAAATGAAAAATTGATGGTAACAATGTAGAGAAAATGGAGCTCTCATCTACTGCTAGTAGTAAAATGGTACATCTACTGTAGAAGACAGTTCCTTCTCAGGTATAATACCCACCCCAAGAAAACAGAAAACATGTTTACTCAAAAACAATACACACAAATGTTCATAAAAGCCAAAAAAAGTGGAAACATCCCAAATGTCTGTCAAATGATGATAAATAAAATATGGTATGTCTGTAAAATGGAGTATTATTCAGCCACAAAAAATGACACATACGGATAAACACTGGAAATACTATGTTAAATGAAAAAATGGCAGACACTAAAGGCTGCATAATGTATGAATCCACTTAATATAAAATATCTACAACAGACAAATCCACAGAGAGATTAGCAGCTGCCAGAGACTAGAGGAAGGAATCAAAGGAATATGGAATAACAGGTACAAGGTTTCTTTTTGAAGTAACGAAACACCCTGAATTAGACAGTGGTGATGGTTGTACAACCTTGCAAATATATTAAAACCCCCTGAACCTTTAAAGAGTATACACACTTTACAACAAGTAAATTTTATGGTACTGTGTATCTTACACAGTATGGTACTGTGTATCTTAATGTACAAAAATATTTAATTAGATAACAAAATGAAATATATTCAACACTTAATAGAAATTTAGTAGACAGAGAAAGCTTCAAGAGCTAAAGATGCTGGTTTTGTTTCTTTGGTTGTAGGATAATGTCTAATACACAACTGAAATCATGAGAGCATATAAACTCTTAAGGGAGAAGACTGAGAGGAAGAAGAACATGATATGTAACTGGAAAATTTCCCAGAGCAGCTGAGGCTTACTGAGAGGACAGAACTAGCACAGGACAGATCACAACAGCTGGGAAAAGGGGTCTCCACCTGAGGGGAAGCTATATACTACATCTTTATGTGTAAAAACATAGAACTGCAGCTATAAATACTACTTGAAAGTGAAGGAAAAAAAGGTCAATAACATTAAAACAACATGAAAAGGCAAAGCATAGACTACACAAGGCTAATAGATTTGAAAATATTTAGGTTTGAAATGACTGGGAAATAAGTTTTAAGAGCATGGAAAAGATGAGAAGTCAGACTAAAATACTCAAAGAGAGCTCATGCTGCAGTTCTCAATATTTATCAGAGAGGAAAAATTAAAATGATAAAAATTATATGGGATCTTGGCCCAAGGGACGGTTTTAGAATAGCCAAATCTACCCACATTTGCCAGCAACAACAAGCCAAAGTAAAGGAGAATCGTGTTATACAACTAGGAGACACTAAAAAGACAAGCATGAAGAAAGACAAAAGAAAATGGGATGCAATACAGAGATATATTTTCACACCCAAATTATTCAAGCACATTTGCACACCAATGTACAAGTTATCTAAGGAAGTAATAATTTAGTTGTCTTGCCTCTTCTTTTTTGTTGGTCAAATAAACAGAGCATGGATTAGTGAGGACAACCTGAGACTTGAGAGAGATGCAGATCTGGGTTTACATCTCATCTCTACCACTTACATAATTAAGACGGGGGAACGGATAAGGAGAGGAATTTGTATTATTTGAGAACAGAAATAGGTATATATCTACAAAAGTAATTTTACAATATTTCAAATAAAAGATGGATAGAGTTTGCTTTAAAAAAGCATAATTCAACACCTCAGATTTGCATTACAAAAAATGTACGGTTATCCAGCATGGACAATGCATCTAAAAGCATACCTTGATTTAGTGTAATTGTCTTAGATGTTTTTGGCCTACTAATCTGGTTGTTAATCTGTAAATCTGTATATATGATAACTAACTTTGCAGTGACTTATACATAAGTGACTAATAAAATTTATTTTGATGCTGGCAAAATAAAAAGGAGGTAGACAGAAGGAGGAGAATTGAGATGTGTTATGTACATGTCCTAATTCCCTGCAATGACTAATCATTACGTACTGCAAACATACGCTACTAAAATCAAAAATTAAAAAAATAAATTAAGTGACAAACTTTTAAAGATAGTTTATCTGAAGTATGTTCTTTATACAATGTGTCTTTCTAAAAGTTTACTCATCACTGTGATCTATATAACAGTGATGACTTTGACTGACTTTTTTACAAAATCTTGGCTATTACCAAGAAATCAATGTCACTTTGACTAAATGTTACTTATTATTTTATTTCCCAAAAATAAATTTTACTTATTCATTTTGTAGTGTCAAGGATCAAATCTAAGGTCTTGTAAATGGTAGACAAGTGTTCTACCACTCAGCAAATTTCCCAGCCCACTTAGAATAAACTATAAATGGCTAAGTTATTTGTCAGAATTCACGTTTTTTTTTTTTTTTTTTTGATAAAATAACATGTTTCGTTGCTCTCCAATTTAGGATTTCAAAGGGTAAAAAGAATTCAGATGTTTATGTACATGTAGCACTACTGACAATAAATGTAAACATTATGTACTTCAAACATGTACTAATAATAAAAATTTAAATTAAAAAATAAAAATAAAGGATTTTGAAAGGAAAACATTCATTCTTATCACAACTACCTATTTTGCAGTAATTTTAGTACTAAACATTCGAAGTTGTTCCTTACCTTTGCATACTCTCTCATATTGCTGTATAGCTTCTTCTGTTTTCTGATTACTTAACTGCTCCTACAAAACAAAAGAATATGAATTAAATACAAATGTAGGTTAAACATTTAATATTTAACAGCAGCTCTTGAAAACAGGGTTGAAGTTTGAAATCAATCTCATACAAGGCTGACTACCGGTCTCTAGCTTCCAAGTTTCTTTTACCAGGGGGAAAAAGTCAGGATAAAATAATAGGAAGACAACAAACAAACCAAGAAGTGTACACTTTTAATCTAAGTTAAATTAAATCTAAGTTAATCTAAATTTTAGTTAAGATTTCTCATATATCACAAAATGCAAAAACAAGAGCAAAAAGACATCTACTTATGTACTTGATGTAGGAGAAACAAAGAAAACCATTAAAAAGTTCCTTATTAGTAAATTCAAAATGCAGGGAAAAGCCCTCTGCTCCTTCCGTCTAGAAAGCACTTATAGGTTTGGAAAAAGTAACAACAGTCTTGACTGGCAAGACTAAATCATGGGGGTGGAAACACTTTGCTTCTAATTTTAACCTGTCAGGTAATGTAAACTTCACAGTCAATCTCACTTAAACTTATCACTATCTCCTAACTCCATAAACCTTAGAATAAATTACTGCAGAACCTACAATTCTGAATCACTGTATTATGTCCGTACAGATTGCTTTATCAGGATTATATTTCCTTAAGAATTCAAACCAGGCTGCGGATATAGCTCAGTGGCACAACACCTGCCTGGGAAGCACAAGGTCCCAAGTTTGATTCCCAGTACCACCCACTAAAAAGAATTAAAACCATGTGTTTATAACTGAATGTTCATTAGTTTGTTTCACTTAAAAGCAAAGGATGGAGTACTGTTGCCGTACCCATTTAATTGATGGAAAGCAAAACATAACTATTTGCAATAAGGGCATTGTTTTTCAGGCGTCAATTTTTAAAGGAATTTGTTATAATGCCTACTTTATTTATTTTACATTTTAATTTGAAAAAATTTTACTGTAAACAAAATTTGCAAAGATAATGAATTTATTGACTTTAAACCTTAACTCACCTTCTCCTACTGTTATATTACTTTACACAATTATCAAAAAACAAAAATATTAACTTTGGTACAGTACTATTAATTCTACTACAGACTTCACAATTCACCAATTTTGCCACTGTTGTCCTTTTTCTGTCCTGGGATTTCATGAGACAGAACTGCACACAGTCATCATTTCTCTTTAGTCTCCTAAAATCTGTGATAGTTCTTCAGTCTTTTTTAATGACCAAGACACTTTATATTAGTCAAATATTAGGGAAAACATCTTCAACTTGTGTTTGTGTGGTGTTTACTCATAGACAGACTGAGGTTACGAATTCGGGGGAAGAACACACAAAGGGGATGTGTACTTTGGTCACATTAAATTAGAAAGTATATATGGTATCAGTGTAACTTACTACCAGTAGTGTTAATTCTTGAACACTTACTTTAGGAGGTTATCTGCTAGGTTTCTCACTGTTACCATTTTTTCTTTTCCACATTCTACTCATTAGAAGCCAGTCACTATAGACTACTTAACTTTAAATAATTTATTTTTTGATCTTAGAAAAGGTTTGTGCCAAGGGTGTACCTCGATGATGTAGCACTTTTGAGCAAGTTGCGCCCTGGGTTCAATCCGCAACACCACAAAAGAAAAACTAATAGTCAAAACACAATTTCCTGTTAAAAACTAATATTTAATCAGACAATAAAATATGCCAATAGAATGCACTAAAGCCATCTTTTATAATGAAACTGTTACCTTGAGCTGCTGAATGGTTCGCTGTTTCATATCTATTTCCTGAGAACACTGGTTTTTCTTTTTCTCTAGCTCATTTATTTTACTCCTCAGTAATTTCTCCTCATCACGCATTACAGATACCTACGAAGTAAATATTTATAAAGCAAATTAAAATATTTTTCATACTGCTTTTTGTTAAAACTCCTAGCCATAGCCAGGTGAGGTGGCACACACCTGTAATCCCAGCACTTGGGAGGCTGAGGCAGGAGGATCACCATGAGTTTGAGAGCAGCCTGAACTACATAGTGAGTTCAAGGCCAGCCTGGATTACACAGTGAGATCTGGTTTCAAAAAAAACAAATACAAAAATACAAAAAAAAAATAAAAATTCATAACCACTTGCTCAAAGATGTCTTTTACAGCCCCATTAGAAAAATTAGATGCAAATTAAATCATATGTCCTACTAAATAAAAAGTCTGTGAGACAGTTTTATTTTTGTATCGAACAATAAAATGATAGAGGAAGGGAGAAAAGGAAGGAGAAAGAAATATAGAGAAAGAAACATCTGATGCCTAGGAGGGATATTTTACAGCTAGGAAAAGTGGGAAGGATTAAATATGTATCTAACTATATGTCTGTCCATATATACCTAATATATACCTAAATATATCTTTGCACATTTCAAATTTGGAGTCTTAAATTTAATAAAAACTTAAGGCAGGCGTGGTAGCACATACTTATAAGCACAGCACTCAGGCTGAAAGTTGAGAACTGCTGCAAGACAAATGCCAGCCTGGGCTACATAGTTCAAGCCCAGCCTGAGCTACTTAGCAAGATCTTGTCTCAAAACAAAAAATTTGTTAAAAGTCATACTGCACATTATCTTAAAAACTATCTGCAAACAGAAGCTAACCTTTAAATTTTTTTTGAAGGACTTGAATCTAGCAGTACTTAAGAGACAACAAAGAACAACACAAAACAAGCATGGTGGCATATGCCTGTAATCATGGTATACTGGGAGAGAGAAGCTGGAGGATTTCAAGTTTGATCCCAGCCTGGGATTTGTCTCAAAATAAAAACAGAAAGGGCTAAGGGATATAGCTCAGTGTGAACGCTCTGGAATTAATACCTAGTAAGAACAATAACTAAAAAAAAAAAAAAAAGATTTTAATCTCACTTAAAGCACGTATTTTTCTTACTGTGCGCCTTTTCCAGTTTGCTTATGGCTAAATTTTCTTTTATAAATAACTGCTCTCATCATTTTAAGAAATATTTTCCTCTAGTCAGTCCTAAAGTTAGTGTCTAAACTTCCTAATAGAAATGTTCCCGGAAGATGGGTCACACAACTTTTCACAGAAGCTACCTCTTTCTGTACTTGCTCAATCTGTTTTTTGGCATCAGTCAGTTTCTCTTTCAGCTCATCATAGTCTTCTTCCTTTCTCTGAAGATCAGATTTCAGACTCTGGGCAAGAGCAGAGCTTGCAGAGAGTTCTTCTTTCAATCTAAGAAACACAAAATACTTTTCTATAGTGATACATCAATAACCGCTCACAATCACTCTGTGAACTCTTAACAGTCTTTACAAAATTACCTTTTTCACAAATTTTGAATGCACAAACTAGGAATGAATGCTTCAGAGAGGACTTCAAGTGATTAATTTTAAGGGACATCTCTGCATGTAACATTGGTTTCTACAGGTTTGTATTAGCGAAGTTCAAGTTCTTTACCCAACATACATACTATGCTTTAACAAATTATATCCATCTAATTGCTTAAGAACTATGTAGAAAAATGAAAGCCATGCATATTTTACAAATCACTTTAATAAGACTGAGCTTACTTTTCTGTTTCTTGTCTGCTGGCTTCTTTTTCTTCTTCCTTTAAATGAAGTGAATGCTTTAGATCCTGCAAATTATTTGTTAACTGTGTGACTTCTCCTTTCAATGTAACTTCTTTTTCACTTAAATCTTTGGCGTTTTTGATAGAATCCTTAAGATTTGCTTGAAATTCTTTTAGATTTTCTTCTAGTTTTAAAATGACAGATTCTTTTACTAAAATGTCTTGCTCTAACTTGGCCAAATTACTACATTCATCTTTCTGAGTCTCTAGTATTGTTTCAAGTTCCTTTATTTTTGCTTTATAACCATTAACATCTTGTGTAAGTTCTGAAAGTGCTTTCTTTCCTTCAACCACAAGCTGTACTTGAACATTAAGACTAACACTTTTCTCTTGCAGTTCTTCCTTCAGTTGCTGTATAAGATTTTCTCTTTCTTTTTGTAGGTTATCTTGATTCTCAACCTCTCTATGCTTTACTTTTAGTATATTATTTTCATCCCTATAAACTTTTATTTCTCCCTGTAATTTTTCAATTTGTTGTTGTAGTTCCTGGATCTGTTGACTTTTTCTGGAGGAGACCTTCACAATTTCCTTACATTCTTCCCAAATGGCTTCAATACTAGAGTGGAATGAACTTTCTCCACTAAGTTCTTGAACATGATATTCTTTAACCTGCTTACTCCCCAAAACATTACTACTTGCACGGTATAAATGTGTGTCTGGCAAATTCTCTTCCTGAGGGCCATTTGACCGGGTCCTGAGCTTGAGTAAATCTATGTTTGAGATATGAGAAACTGAATCAAGTGAACGCAGTTCATCTATTTTTGCCTGCATTAATTTTATTTGTAAAACATTGCTTATGATGGTTTTTGTAGCAACTTCTAACTCCTCTGACAATTTCATGATCTTTTCTTCCTGTTCTTGATTTATATTTTTCTGCACACTTAGTTCAGCATTTATGCTGTCATAATTTGCCTGAATTTGCTGGACTTCTACATGTAAAGTTAAACTCTCTTTTTCAGAACAAGAAAGTTGCTGCTGCAAACAAACAATCTGTTCATTTAATTTTTCTTTCTTCTCCTTTTCATTTTTAAGTTCATTCTCAGCAAGGAATAAAAGTGTTTTAAGTTCTTTATTCTTTTCTTGTAAAACTGTAACATCATCCTCATCTTCTGAAATGGTCTGCCGCATTTCTTCACTTTTCTTTTGATCTTTGGTGATAAGTGAATTAACAAGTACAAAACCTTTAAAAATAGGAAAATTGTTATTAATCCAGCAAATTTTAATAAAACCAAAAAATTACCTTATAAGTCAATATTCAAACATATGAAAATAAACTTATTGAAAAACCAAAATCAGCCATTGACAGAAAAAAAACAGGTTGCAAAATATGTTATAAGCCCATTTATATAAAAACTATACTTACACAAGTTAATAACAGAGTTAACAAAAAGTATAGCAAAATGATGGGAGCTACCTGAGTAGGGATGATAGCATAGAAAAAAATAGAGAGAGAAAGAAGACAAGGAAAACCATAATTTTGAAACTGTACTTTTAAGAAAAATTACAGCTTCAGGATACAAAAGTTACTAAGAAACTTTTCTAGGAAATTCACTCCAAAAAGTGGCAGGGTGGGGGAGGGGGGTCTCTTTTTTTTTGTTTTTTGTTTTTTTTTAAAGTTACTGGGGCCTGACGCTAAGGCCTTCACACTGAGCTATATGTCCAGCCTTTTTTTATTTTTTGTTTTGAGACAAGGTCTCATTAAATTTCAAAGTTGGCCAGGTTAGGCTGAAACTCATGATCCCTCCAGTGTCTGTCTTGCAAAATTACCAGGCAAGAGTGCACCACCATGCTTGGCTTCCTAATGGCTTCTCAAGGGTCTTAAAGACACAGTAAGCCTGGGATCCTACTTTTCACCTGTATCTTAAGCTTTTTGCCATAGAAAACAGAAGGATATCTCAGCTATAAACACCTGTAAATGACCTACATTCTCACTCAGCCCACCAAATGGACAGTCTAACAGACACTAAGAATATACAGTCTAGATCACCCACCTTGAAACCACCAGGTAAACATAAAAATCTCAGCTCCTAACTATAATGCACCTCTCTCTTAAAGGCCTATATGCTATTCTGTGAGTACCTTTTATATGCTTCTCACTGACATGCCTTGAAAATTCTTGACATGGCTTGAAAATCAGTAAACCTATGACCTACTTCACAGCTGAGTTGAGCTGAAGTCCCCATCTTCATCCACTCTGGGGGACCTTCTCATAACCCACCCAGTGACGATACTACCAGCTGTTTCTACTATGTTTTATAATTTTCAGTATTATTTAAACTCTAGGAATCTCAATGATTTCCCCCTTCTTTATTTTTTGCATAAATTTGCCCACTAACTTGTATGAAATTTTAAAATAATCTTCAATGTATGCATTATTAGTACACTGTCTCATAACTTCTCAAACACAACTCAGATAAATTGTCATTAGTAATGTTAAACAGTCTTACAGTCAAGTATTTTTTCTCCAAATGAAAGAATACAAAGAAGAAAATAATATGGAGAGATTTTAGTGAAACAGGTACTATATTTCTGAATGTGATTTTAACAGTTACATAAGTAGAATGAAAGTAGACATGGAAAAGAAATTGATAAAAGCATATCTACAAATATTTAAATTAAAAAGTTTCAAATATACCCATCCTCCAGACAGCTTTAATGTGCTAACATAAAAACTTAGGACAGTTTTTCTCAAGATTTCTCCTTAAATAAGTTTCCTCCCATTTGCAACTTTTCTACTTACTGCTTTAGGAATTAGCTTTCTTGTTTTCTTTCTTTTCTTGACACAGGGTCTCACTATGCAGTTCAGGCTAGCACTAAACTCACTATGTAGCCCAGGTTGGCCTCAGACTTGTGGCGACCCACCTGCCTCAGCCTCCTGAGTGCTGGGATTACAGGCATGTGCCACCACACCTGGCTGAATTAGCATTCTTAAAAGTTTCCTGCTATGAGCTGAAGCAGTATTACCTTTCTTTGTTGGTGGTTCATCTTGCTGAAGTTCATTTTCATTTACTCTTTTCTTTTCTAAATAGGTTTTAGTTTTGCTGTCTGTAGGAATTTCAGCAGTTTCATTAAAAGTAGATTTATTGTTTATTAAAGATAGACCAGCTTTGTCCTAAAGCAAAATTAAAATTAATTCACATATAGAAAGCTATAATAAATATGCAAGCTAAATAAATAACTTCACAGTAAACCACAGAACTTTTATTTTTAAACTTGTTGAAATATTTTGTAAGTTATTTCTTAAGTTTTACCCTAAAATAACTGATGGTTCTGGCAAATGAGTAACATATGGGGCAGGTGGAGAACATGCATCCCTAAAATCACATTCAAAATGTATTTTCAAATGAAAAACATGACATCATTGATTAAAAATGTTTCTATTTTTTTTTGAAACTTCAACGTTCTACTCTAGAATCAACAACTGTTTTGTTTTATAACCAAAATCTCTTAAAGATAAACTGTATTGCATTATACTTCCTCTATCTTCTCCTTTTCTAGAACTTCCAGCTTCATTTATCATCTTTGCTCTAAACTTTCTTCCTGAACAATAAATTATACTCTCATACAATGACTGAAAGATTTCTCATTTCTGTAACTGCTTTTTAAATTTACTTTATTTTGGTGATAGAGATCAAACCCAGGAAATTCATGCGTGCTAGGCAAGTGCTTTACACTAAGCTCTATCCCTAGCTGGCCTGGATTCCTATAACTAGTTTGCCTTCTTGTCCTTCCTCACTACCAACTGCCTGTTCCCCCAACTTTCATGTGGCAAAGTTTTACTTATTCTTTAAGGTTCAATTTAGTACAGTTAGAAACAAAGGAGCTGAGTCACTACCTTTCTTTTGTTCAACCGTAACCGCCACAACACCCTCACGATTACCAAGGCCTAAACTTAGGCTCACCCTAATGATTATGCAGGCCTAAATTTAGGAGGTCGTGCAGATTGCTGGCATCAGTGAGCCAGTAGGAGGCACCTTAGATAGTGATGTCGGACTCTATAAATATTGGCAGCTTGAGTGACTGGGCCCCTTTTTTTTCTTCCGCACTCGAGTACCTTTTTCCCTTCACTCTCCTTTTCCCACTGTCCTTCTCTCTGTTCCTGCTAATTGTCCTGTGATCGTCAATAAACATAGCTACTTACTTTCTTGTCATACACAAGAACCTGGACTATATCTTGGCCCACTCAACTGCAACAAATGTAAATCTTTTTTATCTCCACAAGGTATTTCTAAACCCTCACTCGCTCTCAGCTTCTGCACACTGCATTATACTTGGGTTTATCCTATTTCTCTTCACTGGGAGCAAGGGGTAGACTGGCTTGTTAAAACGATTTTTATTGATCTGTATATTTGTCATAATCTAGAACAATATACTTGGCAAACAACAATAATTGCTTCTTGCTTTCAACAAGTTATTTCTTGTTTCTCATCCTCACTCCTCTACCTCAATGAAAGGGGTAATTCTCCCAGTTCAGGTTCAGAAAAGTCAGGAAGATTGAATAACATATTTAAATACCAAAAGAAAGAACTGCTACTCATCTGGAATGCTCCACTTTTACCTCTGCAATATCAAAAGCTCATCTGTGTTGGAGATACAGCTCACAGGTAGAGCATTTACCTATCATAATGCAAACCTCTGAATTCAATCCACAGCATCATGAAAAAACCAAAACCATCTCATTTAATGTCCAGAAAATTCAGGGAATGCTTGGTAATATTAGAGACTGGCTTTAAAATACAAAATAACCTTAACTGTCTCATCTTGGCTTCAACCAAATGAATATGAAATTATCTGTCTTTATAAAAAGCTAAAAATCCTTAAAAGCTTTACATATCACAGCACGTACGTTTTCAAAGAAAATATCCTTGCTATTAAGCATATGAAAAATGAATATAGTGAAGTTTTAAGAAAAAAAAAACCTACTTCTGCTGATTACAAACCGTTATTATTTAAATATATCCAACTTACTTTCACCTCAGAGCTCCCTTTCCAATTAGCTGAGGCTTAAACTTCCAAGAGCTACATAATCTTATTATCACTTGTATCTAGATGCAAGCTCATGCATCATGCAGACATTGATGGGCTTTTTATAGGGGGCTAGATCTGGATTGTGTGAGACTGGGATTAAGAATGTGATGCTGGGAGCAAGGGTTCCCGCCCTGGGTGTGGGTGGCAGTGCCCAAAAGGCAGATAGTCTGGAGGGATAAAAGGAAAAAGCAGGTGTGCTGCATGGTGTGTTCCGCCTACCCTGCTTTGCCATGGACTGTTTCTCTTCTATAGTGCCCCTCTGCCATACCACCCTGTCTTGGAGGCAGCTGATTATGGACTGAAACCTCTACAAACTGTAAACTAAAATAAACATTTCCTCCTTTAACTTTGGGTATTTCGTCTCAGCAACAAGAAAAATAACAAGATTTTTCAACAATTCTTTCTTACATGCAGAGAACATAGTTTTTGAGATGATTATTTTCCAGAGGTCAAATTCTTCTAAATTCTCAAAAATTCAGATTTGTATAAGAAAAAACAATTTAATGCCAGGGTAAGTAATTCCACATTCCTAGAAAATTAATCTTGGTTACACAAGTTATTTTAAATTATTGGAATTGTCTAAATAGGTGTTAAATCTTTTAAGTATATTATTTGGGTTACTTTTTTAAGTACTAGATATTAGATCTTAAATTCTTTATATCCTATCATATCTTATAATAGCTCTTTAGAAGAATAAACTTAATGAAAGTAAGAATACCTATGCTGGAGGAAGAAAAAAAAATAAGTTTAAGTTCTAACTGTACACTTGTAATTACAGTTTTAGAATTATGTTAAATCTACACCAGTTGGTGTGAAAAAATGATTAGAAGTCACAAAGTGGTGGGGTCCTCCAGACGCAACTTTCTGTTTATATGCTATGATCTGCTCAGGCTATAGTCCATGTTGTAAAACAAGTAGGGATTTTAGGTAAAACACTAAATATATCTAGTCAATAGCATGAAATCTAGTAAAAGAATGAGATAAATCTGCTATGTGCTGATACAGAATTGTTTCCAAGATGATTTTCAGGAGAAAAAGTAAAATATAAAACTATAATCCTACTTGCTGAAACTTTTCAAAAGATGTGTGAATGTTCTATATATTCCTAAGTGTCCTGGGAAGTTTAAAGAAACTTTCCACTGGTTGTCACTGAAAATATGAACATACTTATTACAGTTTTCAATTTCTCAAATCACTTTCATTTATTACCTTTTAAAATTACTTAAATAAATCTACACAGTTAAAATTCATGGTCTTCCATTAACTTAAGTTCCTTACCAAAATAAAATAAATCTTAAACTATTACCTTATTAGACATCTTGAGCTCTTGAACCAATGATTGTGATTCTGAAAAAATAAAGAATGCTGAAAATAAATAGCTAAGCATCTAAAAATAGATCAATGAAAAACTATGAAACGTAAATTGCTATAAAGTGTTACATTGAGAAAAAAGGATTTTGACTGCATAAAAAAGGTACACTCGTTTGCTAATTCAACCACAAGAGAGTAATGTTTCAGAAAAAGCCACATTCAAACTCCAGGGCAAGAGTGAGTAATACATGCTAGCCAGGAAAGCGGAGACACCGACATGAGGGAAGTACAGGAGCTAGTGCCCTTCAGTCCACCTCACAATGCAGAAGCGCCACTGGCCTGCTATTTCCTACTCATCTTGTTTCACAAAGAAAACGCAACTATTCTATTTCTCTTAAAACCCATAAATATATTTGCATTAATCTGCCAGATTGTTTTAAACCACTCATAAGAGTTACAAGAGCTACAAGTTACAAGTTACCACTTCAAACCTTACAAGCCCAGAACGAGAATCTACACTGTAGGAGTTCATAAAAACTAGAGCAAACAAAATTTATACCATTATATTTCCTAAGGGATTTTTTATATTTATTTATAAAATTAATATTCACATTTTTAGAAGTTTTTCTAATAATAATGGTCTAAAAGAAAATGAAAGTAAAAAATTACTAGTAAATTACTAAAGTAATACAAATGTAAAACATTAAAATGTTACCTAGATTAAAGAATTTTTAGGTCATAAACTGCAAAAATCTCTTATACTTACCAACTATATTTCCTATGTATTCACCATATCTAATTAATGGTAAAATACATTTGCTTACCATTTTCTCTTTTTTTAAACTCTTCTTTGGTTTTAATTAATTCTTCTTTGGTTTTAGCTAATTCAGTTTTAACTTGATTAAACTTTAGTTGCAAACAAGCAATAGCTTCCTGGGGATCAGCAAGAGATGCAATATAAGAGTGAGCAATTTCAGCCTGCTCCTTAATATCAGTGACATCACGTTGAAGAGCACCAATAATATCTTCGAATCCTACATAATTATATACATCCTAAAAACAGCAAAAACCACATCTAACATTAACAGTGGGCTTTATCCTTACGTGTAGGCTTTACCCCCCGATATATAGTTTTAAAAACAGGAAAAAAATTCAAAACTTAAAATTCTTTAAGTTACATAGAAGCACTCTTAACTAAAAAGACTTGTTTCATTATTTTTGTTTTTTATGTACCATGAGGCATATTCCCTCATAAAAACATCATAAACTATTATAGAAAAATTACGATTACTAAGTGCAGGTACAGTTCCAATTATGATTCTTACATGGCCTTTTAGAATAACCCAGAAAACAAGCCTCCATTTTCAAAACTCAGTCCATGTTCCAAACCCTGTCCAGGACACACAATAGTGGTCTGACAGCAAGGGCCTGAACATCATTGTCTCAAGCCCCTAAACTGAAGAGACCAAAATCCAAAATGAATAGAGCTCCTCACACCTCAAAAAACATGATCCATTTCATAATGAGCAAAAGCATCAAAAAAGGATAAATTTACCTTGAGGGTAAGCAATGTTAGTTATTTTTTTATTATATATAATAAACTTTTAAAATCTGAGCAGTAAGTAAATGACTTTATAGGTTCCTTAAACCTTAAAACTTTTAATTGCAAAAATTTTTACACAAACCCAAGGATATACCATACTTACGCAAAAAGGACTCTTCTCTCCCTAAAAATCAATACAGTAACTCAGCAACACCAAAATGTAAGATAACTATAATAGTACTATACATTTTTCCAAGCCCAGAAATTATATCTAAACTATTTTTGCTTATATTTCTAAGAAAACATGCCTATTATAATAAAGCTACATTACAGTAACTCATTTTAATTCTAAATTTCTCATCACTAGTAGAAAAGTCTCACTAAATTTTAATATTTCAGTGAACATACTTCATTTTCAATTTTTGTAGCACAAATTCCATTTGTTGGTTCATCTTGTGTGTCACATCTGTCAATTAAATCCTTGAAGATAGCCAAACGACATTCAGCATTTTCTTCTAATATTTCTCGTTCCTGGAGAAGTGTTTCCCTTCATAAAACAAATTAATCTGATCAAGAAAAGAGAAGGCAGCTGGGGATATAGCTCCGCGGCACAGCACCTGCCTGGCAAGCGCAAGGCCCTGAGTTCGATCCATGGTACCACAAAAAAAAAAAAAAAAGAAAAGAGAAGGTAATACTCTGTGTTTTGTTTCAAATTTCTAACATTAAGTATATTATAGGCTAAAACCAAATTTAAACAGTCATGTGTTGGAATTAGTAACAACTGTTTTAAGGCTTGTATAAAGCCACCTAATACAAAAAGAGAACATAAGTTAAAAAAAAAGAACGAGTAAATAATATTGTCAATTTTCACCAGATCATGAACAACTTACTTAAAATCAGCTTCCCGTTGAGCCCAATACTGAGTAAACTCCTGTGTAACTTCTTCTCGAATTTTAAATTCCAGGGTTAACTTTTCTTTTTTTTCATTAATTAATCTTGTTTTCAAGTCTTCTATTAAATCCAACAGTTTCTAAAATATGTAAACATTAAAATCCTTAGAAAAAAACAAGTACATAACAAGAAAAATATCGTGAAAATGTTTAAAGATCAAACTGTATTCATTTAGTCAGGTGGAAGTATGTACCATTTTTATAGTATTAATATTCTCACTGAAAAATTGTACATTTTGTAGAGATTCATTAATCTGAAAAAGTGAACAGAAAGATCCACACTGCAGATCCACATTGCAGGTTTGCCTAAAGGTAGAGTAGATTAATTATTACTGTGTAATGCAAGTTCACATTTTAGAAATAAACTTGTACAAAAAAAGAAAAAAGACTTACAGTAACTGACTAGCTCATTAGGAAAAAAGCTAAGGTAACCACTCTAACATTTAACCAAAATGCCAGAGACGTTACAGGAACATACTATATTAACATTTATAATCATCCGGATGCAAGTAACAACTCTATATCCTTTGAAAACATATACGATCATGTAATATAGACAATAGAGTTCTTAACATTGAATATAGCCAATATAGATTCATGTTATAGCATTAAGAAAACATCCTGATATTTTTTTTCAAGGTTTCTGATTAAAGTTTCTCAACAACAAAATAAACTCATCCAAGCCTTCCCTTTCAGTGTTTCTTCTTTATATCTGAAAATATTTTTACAAATATTGACTTTAAAATTCCACTATTAAGAACTTATATTAAGTGAATAACTGTATAATATAACTCAGCATTTTTGCTATAAGAATACACATCATATTAATGTTGTTGTTAGTGGTAGTAACTGTATTTAAATAAAGTAAAAATGAAACCCAATTCCATGGCCAAATTTATGGAATTGGTTCAATTATAGTACTGTCCCACAATATAGTATTCTGATTAATAATAATGATCATTTTAATGCTTGTATATGTTTCTATTTTTAATTGAAAAAAATCAGGTTATAAAACATTAATGCAAGTAAAAATCTATTAGAATCAATGATCAACAGCTCTTTATATTTAAATTCTTTTTAATATATGAATACATATTTACATAATTTTAAACAAAGACACACTCTCCCACTAAAACAAGAAACAGCAATCATTAAAATGTTGAAGACTTGGCTAGGGATACAGCTCAGTGACATAAGCGCCTGCCTGGCAAGCACAAGATCCTGAGTACAATTCCCAGTACCAAAAAAAAAAAAAGAAAAAAAGAACAGTTTGCCAGGCGTGGTGGCACACGCCTATAATCCCAGCATGCAGGAGACTGAAGAACGAAGATCCTTGTAAGTTAGAGACCAGCCTGGGCTACAAAATGAGCTCAAGGCCAGCCTGAACTATATAGTAAGACCTTGTCTCAAAAAGACAAAAACAAACAAAACCACCCACAGAAAACTACCCTCAAAAAATGCTGAAGTAGAAATCTGTATGAATGTGGTAATACTATAGGGAAATTGATTTATTTTAGTAATTTCCAACAGTTTTTATCATTATTAACGTATGATAAAGTTTTTGATGAAAAAATTCTGACTATTCTAACTGTATGCATTCTCTAAGTATAAATGTTCAAGATCAATGTTACAAAATCAATACATTTTGTAATAAATTTTAATAATCTCAAACATCTAATTACAATGTTAAAAAGCATGCAATGCCTAATCATTTCTACTTTTTAATATCAAATATTAGTACTGAAAATATAGCTCAGCATTACAGCACTTTGCCTAGCACAAGCCCAGGGTTTGACCTCCGTCAATGAAAAAAAAAAAAAAAAAGACAAAAATGTGAATTTCAATTAGAAATATCTAATAATATTATAAAAAGATGTGTAGTTACCTATGTAATCCAATATAAACTGTAGCATTAAACATTTTCTTTAAAAAAAAAAGTAAAAATATATCCCTAGTATATTCAGAAGTTTAACCAACAGTATATAAAAACAACTCTGAAAAGATCAGAACAAACTAAAACAGGAATGTTAATGTCTCCTTTGTCACTGAGATAGGTATTACCTTACAAAGGTCAAATTAGGAACATTCAGCCACATAGAGACCACCTAACTGAGACATACAGAACATCTAAAGTTTTCATTTTTGTTTCCAAACAACGTGAGAGCTGGAATGACTTTCCAGAACAGTGATCAAAATTATTAAAATAAGAACATTTAATTCAATACTTGTGCTTCGGACTTCTGTAAGGCAAGAGTGTTGTAATATATGAGATGCCAACACCATTAAAATATGCCTATGAACATAAGTTTCCCTGTGTTTCTAGGACATGGTTAAGAGGACTTTTTGTGGGCTGAGAATGAAGATCAGTGGTAGAGCACTTTCCTAGCATGTGGGAAGCCCAGAGTCTGATCCTAAGCACTATACAAAAAGAGAGAGAAAAAGAGACAGAGAGAAATGTAAGTATACATATATAGTTAGTGAATTAATATTATGAGGGGGATAGATAATATGAACATCACCTAAATCTCCGGATTAATGCATCTTAAACATATGAACTTTATTTAAATAGAAGCTGAAAGAGTCACTGTTGGGGCTGGGGATTTAGCTCAGCGGCATAGCGCCTGCCTGGCAAGCGCAAGGTTGTGAGTTCAATCCCCGGTACCGGAAGAAAAAAAAAAAAGAAGAGTCACTATTAAACCTGTTTACCTTTGCAATAAGATATTCTTGAACAAACAGAATAACTGGGATTAGGTAAATGTTTTGAGCATTGTACTTTAGACTGCAAATTGAAACTATAGTGGAATATGCTAAAATCACTAGGGACTGAGGTACAGGACATTTGCATAGTCTCATTGTACAGATGATATACTTTTACAATATAGAGAGATCTGGTAGACTATCACTTAACCAAGTAAGCAAAACTTAGCATTCCCAAAAACAGAGAAATCAGACAGCATGTGCCTTCCGCAATGATGCAAAAAACATGCATACCTGAAGCAACCAGATGAATCTAGAATGGAGATAATCTACAAAACAAGTATTCTTTACTTAAAAAAAAGTTAATGCAAGATCAGCAATTACTAAATGTGATACTCAAAAGTAATGTCTCTCTCTCTCTCACTGCTTTTGCTGTCTTCCACTACCTTAAAGTGTTGCCCCTCAGCCATGTGCCATTCTGCCTTGGAACCAGCTCATTATGGACTGAAACCTCTACAAACTGAGAGCTAAATAAATTGTCCCCTTTAAAAAAAAAAAAAAAAAGGGGCTGGGGATTTAGCTCAGCGGCAAAAGCGCCTGGCTGGCAAGCGCAAGGTCGTGAGTTCGGTTCCCGGTACCAGA